TCTTGAACAGCTTCTGTAACTTTAAACATGTCCAAACTATTTATAAGAAACTTTGATTGTCATTTTTATGTACACTTTGACCCATGTTAGATAGCATTTATTACTTAACGTAGAAGAAATTTGGTGCCATTTTGTAGACAACATAGTTAGCTGTAGAACTAGCATAAAAAAGTACAACTTCACAAACTAGTTTTTGAATTTTGTGCGGAAATGCACAAAATAATCAATTTTCTTGCATATGTTTTTCTGTTTTTGTCTGTTTTTAGGTATGTTTGACGGTTAGTATCAATACAAGTTTTACAGTAATCGCTAGAACATGTTATCTTCCAAATGAGACTAAATTTATCATTCTGTGACTCTTATGTTCTCAGTTATTAAAATTTTCATACACGCACTAGCGTAATCGTAAACATAAAAATGGCTGCCATTTCAAGGGGGATGAGGTATGACATTGTAGGGGGGTGGATTTGTCGATAAAAATAGCCCCCATAAATATCGGTATGTCGTGACCAAACACATTGTATATATATGTATATATATATATATATAACAAAGAATAGGAAAATAATAGGTAAAAATCCGCAAAAAGAAGGAAAGTTGATTCGAGCAGAGAATAGGACAGGTAACCCTAGCAATACGTATTTCTGCTGGTTGTCTTCATCAGGCCCGAAATGAATGCACATTATGCAACTACAAAAGTAGATACACATCCCCATACATCCGGATACGGGTATAACCTGAGGAAACGAAGATGGAGAGGGAAAAAAGTCACACACGAAGTCCACAACAAGAGTCAACCTACACATTGTAGTATAAAATGGCTAGAAGACCTCGAATTTTCAAGGCGACATATACGTATCGCTCGGGTTAACTATCCTATTTTCTGTTCGAATCCCCTTTAGTTCTTTTTGCGGATGTTGTCCATTATTTTCCTATTTTTTGTTATATACCTTTCTCCGCTTGATCATTTTCTCTCTCTCTCTCGATATATATATATATATATATATATATATATATATATATAACAAATTCTAACATAAAATTCTGAAAATCTCATCATCTGAAGTGATTTGGCAACGTTTTGGCACACGCCCACAATTCGTTCCATCTTTCAATACTGACATTGACATCCTTCGGCCTTCTGTCAAAGGGTTTCATGTCACTCATCAATTCATCATTCCATGACCACTAATTTGTGCAATCATCAGGTGGTTTCACGATGTAATGCTAAAATTTTTTAAATAATTTTGAATCTGTTTTTAACTTGTTCTTGTCATGTTTTGTATAAATTTTGACTATTGTGCAATCTATTCAGCTCTCACCATGTTACTGGACGTTTCCCTCATCCTATACGTAAACAACAATTAGCAACATCCTCACATACTACTGTAAGTTGAGTCAATTTAAATTCATTTTACACCTTTGTTGCTACTGTTATCATTGTAATTGCAGCTCCTGATGATGATGGCAAAGTCCATTGAAAGCTAGAGAGAATTAAAAAAAGTATAAAGAGTCCTCTTTGCTTAAATCTTGTCGAAGTACCCAACAAAAGGCGGAAGCTTTAATTTTTCACCTATATATATATATATATATATATATATATAGGGTGTCCCACCCTTCTGGGAATGGGGTCCTGCTCCTTAACAGAAACTTTCCAAATAATATTCATGAATAATTATTCACGGTTTCTGGGAGCTCATGTATATAATATTTGCAATTATACCAGGTATCCCAATTTCGACCCCTACATCAATGTTGATTTTCCTTTAATGGAATGTCATACTTTTTATTACATATTGACATTGGCCTCTGTAAAAGAAGAAGGTATAACATACTTACGGGTTTTGATTATCATTTGTTGAGTTTTTGGGTAATTTATCTTAAAAAAAATAATTGGCAGCAGGATATACGAGTATTCTGGCAGAGCGTAGCTGGGCGAGCTAGAATGCACTCGGTGTCTTAGACCATCTGCTGCGCGAAGGTATCGATACGTGGTTGAGCAGAGGGGTGGAAAGGGAACAAACCCGTTTGTCGTTAAATTTCTGGAAATTCCTTTGAGAAGCATTGAACCGTATTATTCTGCTTTTACTATTTTGATCCAAATTTTCAACAAGAATTTGGTCGATACACTTTTATATACCAAGCCTGCTAATCAGGGGCACTATCCTATGCTATCTATAAATCGACGAGTATCACATGTAATTATTTGGAATGAACTACTGCCAACTGTCAACTGTCTCAAGCAATACTCGTACACATTATTATCAATAGATGAGCGTCCAGGTCGAAAACCACGTTGTTCCTCTCGAAAACCTCTTTGGGTGTGAAATCTTTTATTACCCGGCCGTAGAATCTCCAAGTAGATGAGGTTATGCTTGTTCTTCTCTGATTTTTGCATTTTATGATTGTAGCTCATGTAAGCCATTTTCTACGAATCGGGTACTTTGTCACCTTTCAACAGATGAAGGTGTTATCAACAAGGCCACAAGGTTCAAATTGCGCACCATTTTTGCATTACATGCGTCTAAATCGACACGACACAGGTAAGAGTGAACCACATTCTGAAAATTGAACTCCTCAGCGACATAAATAGATTTTGTGTACAGAGCTATCGCATTTTTGACTAAAAAAACACGCATGGTTCACGCGAAGTACATCCTATGGGGTACATTGACTAGCCGAATCGAACCATACTCGTATACTCGTATATGTCTAAATTTCTGTTGATTGTGAGCTGGTAATGTCACTGGAGCAATCTTTCCGAAGAAAAAAAAATACTGCATCAACAGTAGACCTTGTAATCCTATGGCAATCTAGTTTATTTTGCATCGTCTTCTGATTTGGTTTTGTGCTTTAAAATCTTTATACGTTTGGCTATAAATTTCAGTTACAAAATGCCGAATAAACCAAACTACTTACCGTACTATCATTTACATAACTGCATTATCAATGAAAATTGCTTATATTTATTACAGCTGTGATATGTCAAAGCACTGTTGCATAATTTAAATCACCTGTTGTTGTTGTTCGTCCACATGGAACTTGATTGAGAATAGTTTTTATAGCGCCGATGCGCTATAGCGCTATAAAATTTTTTACTACACGACCTTATTTGCATGAGGATGTTTTATTAACACATTATAAATATGGTGTTATGTTTTAGATATTGCTTCCTTATGTGCCTCGTAAAATCATTGAAAAATATCCGACGAGATTTAAAGTTCACAGTGCATCCTATACATAGATGAAAAATAGTATCAGTGTAGCACACATGTCATTATTTTTTTCTTTAAATGAGTAGAACAGTCAAAATAAGTATGGGCAAAAATATTTGATTGTATCAAAATACTCGAAAATACATGCCATTTTTTTGAGTAAAAAAAATTATATTCTAAAAACTATGTCGGCCATATGGCGCCCTTGAGCAATGCAGGAATCATGCCCCTCCCGAAATGAGCCCATTGCGTCGGCCAGCTCCCGTGCAGGAATTTGGGTTACTTCTCTTCTTATTTCCTCCTTCAAATCGACGAGGGTCCGAGGTTTGCTTTGGTAAACTTTTGATTTCAGGTAGCCCCATAAAAAAATCACACGTTGACGGGTCCGAAGAGCGAGGGGGCCATGGAATATTGCATTGACGTGAATTGAGACGTCCTGGGAATTTTTGCCGAAGAAGTTCCATCGAAGTGCGAGCTGTGTGAGATGTTGCCCCGTCTTGTTGGAACCACACTGTTCTGAGGCGGACACGTCGATGTCGAAGTTCCAGAAAAAAAAGCTTGTGGATGTAACGCTCTGAATTCACAGTAATTGTTTCTCCATTATCCTCAAAAAAATAAGGGCCAATAATCATAACACCAAACTGTAACTTTCGGGGTATGCAGGGGGTGCTCATGCAACTGTTGGGGGTTCACTGGAGACCAATATCGACAATTTTGTTTATTGATATATCCATGTAAATGAAAATGTGCTTCATCACTCATAAACAACGTCGTGTTGACAAACTTGGATTTTGTAAGGATGGAACACTAAATCCTCCTTCAAGATGCGACGTACACAGGACGCGTGGATCCCTAGGGAACTGACACGCAAACGGACAGAACGATTCCGGCTTTGCAGCGTGTGAACTCTCACTCTGTCTCGTTTTCGGAGGTTCTAACAATACGGTTTCTCCCCGGTACTGTCCCACGACCTGGAACACGAAAGTGAACGCGAACCTCACGTTGCGTTCGAACGACAGACTCGCCATTTTGAAAGTACCGACGTACAGTGAACACACGATGCTCAACGTTCCAAGCCATCTTGCCAACTGAAACGGTACTTCTCCCACTATCCAACACGCCCTTCCCCACCGACACGGGACCAGGCCACTCGATGTAGTACCCATTCGAAAAACATGCGTTCTTTCTGACGGGCCCTGTACATAGCTAGGAACTCAATGAAGCTTTCCAAACGTGCAAAATGCACATGTACGTTTTGACTTTATTAATGAAAATTGTAGTATGCCTAATTCTGCTAATAAAGAGCAGAACCTACTGAAAACGTCTTAATATGTTACCGACACCTCCGCCTGTGATGAAGTAACGGTTATGAATGTGATTAGTTTCCTATTGGTGATACGTGGTAGATGAAGTATGCCTATTTGTTATTGGTATCTCATAACTTGAACGCTGAGGTAATGAATACTAACGACAACGGTTTGCTTACTTGGAGTATATTGAAGGAGGACACATTCTGTACCTTGCTCGAACACTAGGATCATGTATTATTGGTGATTCCAGAAACTTGAATTGTTCGCCTATTTTTCAGTCTGCATCATTCTTTTTCGTCGTCCCACACCTATATCGATGACCCCTGATGAGGCTTGAACACTGCTTTGTATGGCCGCTTGATGGATGAGAGCAGTTTAACGTTTTGCTCTAACTTTTTGAACAGCTCTTATTAGTGGTGGTTCCATCAGTGCATAGCCTTTTTATTCGTTCAGTCAAAAGTGTTATATTTTCCAGAAAACAAAATCTTTCCGGAAGAAGTCCCTGAACGATCTCACCGCTGTCGATAACAACAACCATCATGGCCATTGTAACAGAATATTCCTAGTAGAAGCTCCATGTGTCATGTCACCACGCCAGTTTCCCCTCGATGCCAAACCAAGACACCTGTTCCTGTTTTCGGACCTGCTACTCGTCGCCAAACCGAGGTCTGGGGGTACATTTAAATTAAAAGTGAGTATAGTATCAACTAACAGTTTATTCAGAAAAAACTCTCCATATCAAAAGAAATGAGAGCTCTCGATAAGCAGTGATGAGCACATTGTATACATCATATAAAATACACCACTGTAGACAATGTAAACAATCCAAACAATGTCAAGTATGAGTTCAGTGAGGTCTCTTGCATATATGTATCACCTATTTTAATCATTAGAAAAACTATATATATATATACAAATTATATATGCAAAGTTGTAGTTTTAAATTAATTATTAACATTCCTAAAATAAAATACCTTCCAGAAACAAAATCTACTCATTTGACTGATTTCATTCAGCGTCGTCAGCATCGTCAATATTTGGATTAGGAAGGCCGTTACCGGCCATTCTTAAGGATTATGATTCCTCACTACTTTTCACTGTAATTGTAATTTAACATGTGCTTCTATTAGGCAAGCGAGATATAGCTGTTAGACAATTTTTGTCACAGATACAGCATTCGACAGAATACTTTCTTCCATCTTTGAACAAAAATGAACCCTAGTTCATCGATCATTTTGCTCTTTTATAATCGGTTTACACAAATACATTCACGAATAAATTGTCGAATTTCTTCAAGGTAACAGATAACGAAATTACGTGATCAAATTTATTCAAGTTAAGCATAGCAACATATATAGCAACTTTCTATGATACCAGCCTCAGATGAAATAATAAAAAAATAATACATGTATAACGAAATCGATAAAAAGATGACAGTATACTTAAATACTGATTGTTTCTGCTGAAATAATAAATACTACATTAAAACTAAAGCGATTGTAATCTTAATCACAAAACGTGAACACGTCAAATAACGGAGGTAGGTAAAAGAGCCAAAAGTAACTTGAATTTCCCAAAAAATTGACGGAAAATTTGAACAAACTCTAATTTGGCAATTTATTCATGAATTTATTGTTGTGCATAAATTTTCAGCAATTCTTGTTTACACGGTCCAACTTCTTCAAGGCTACAAAATTGTTCAATTTATTGCATCGTGTAAATCGCAATTAGCAGGCTCAACCATATTATTTTTATAGTTACCGTTTCGTTAATGTTTTAACGTTTGCGAGTAAACCTAACCTGACTAATGTTATTTTAAGCATTGTCTACACCATTGTAAACGTATGCATTGTATGTATTTTCTTCGCATTGTCTGCACGGAAACGTAGTCAAAGTATACGCGTAAACGCCCACCACTGTCGATAAGTTGGCCGATTTAATAGGAATAGATATCTTGGCTTTCCCGCGTTTTTATTATTGGGTATTATAAAAAATTACGATTTGGCGATTTCGGTCATCACTGTACAATTTCCGCTCCCCAAACTGCATAGATCATATCACATATGGAACCATCCGATCATTGTTAATGTAATGTAGATTATAACGTTTTTATTACCACTTGACACATTTTTGTTGGTGTAACATGTGTCATTTTACAGTATGTAGAGGAACGATCGATATTAAATGTGTTTCAATTATGTCACAGATTTTTATGGATCCAAATGCAGTATTTTGAATATATGAAGTGTGGAATCAATTTAAATTTTCAATTTCGACCTGAATGTACTCGTTAATACCTAGGGTAAGTCGAGGAAAGATGGCCATACTTTCTATTATTGGTTAGATTGTTTGATAGATGGAAAGTACAAACTTGAAATTTGGTACAAAGTAACTCCTTTCGTGTGTAGGTTGATTATCTTTAAAATTCAATACGAGCAGCAAAATAGTTTTTTCAATAATTCTTATGACATAAAAAGTGGCATCCCGCCTTTAGGGTGAGATGGCCAGGTAGATTTTATTTATTTTTTCGCAGGAAAATAAAATACTTCGGTCATATTAGACGCTTAAAACACTTTATTTTTACATAAACGATAAAAAAATAAAATGGGAACCCACCCAAAGTGCCGCATGCATGTTTTTTTACAAACTAAGAGCAGTTTACTTTGCAATATTAGAAGAACACAAATCACAAATAAAATTTGGGGTATTTTGCCCACTGCACAATTTGTGAACCCATTTTCCACAGTAAATGCACCTATACCAAGTTTCACCGCTTTTCCCAAATTCCTGGCAGACTAAGCAGATGTCCACAACGCCGATATCGTTGTCATTCAGGTTGTTTTTTTCTTTTTTTTTGTTTTCTTTGCTCAAAAGATTAGCGAGGGGTTCTCCGTCAGACTCTGTAGAACAGCTGTTAATCTTTCTTTCCTTGCTTCTACTGTCTTTAGGTTTATCATCAGTTTTCCTTTTCTTTCTTTCTTTTTGTTCCTCGCCTTTTCCTACTTTTCTCTTTTTGGACTTCTCCCGACAGGACTCATTGTTTGATGTACAAGTCAACTCTGAAGCAACTGATCTGAACCGTCTTTTTGCAGCTTCAACCCTTAATCAAGGCACGGGTGATATATCTGCCAGCATTTTACTGATAGGGGTTACTTCTGTTTCCAGATTTTGACAAGTCCCTTCTGGTTGAATGTTATCTGAAAGGTTTTTAATAGCGGTTGAACCATTATCGTTGTCTTCATTTATCAAAACTGGCTCGTCAACTTGGTCATCACCAATATTTTCTAAGGTTCTTGAGCATCGGCTAAGTTTTGAGTCCCAATTTGAACTGCTACGTCTGGTGTTTTAATTTGAACATCTGCCATAGCAAAAGCGTAGTCCGATATGGCATCTGGATTATATGTGAAGATACCGGTACTTCTGAAACCACTAACAGCATTATTAATACTTGCAGATTTTTCCCAGGTATCAGATAATAATTCTCCAAACTGGTATCGTGTTATACGCCTGCCAGGATGACGCTTCAACCAAAGTCTGTAGTTTGAATAAAATGCATTTTTAACAGACTTGAAAACAGCCCTATCTAATGGCTGTAAGAAATGGGTGCAATGACTAGGAAAACATAGCAAAATTATGTCATTTTCTTTCGCATACTCCAGCATTTCAACAGAGGTAGAATGAGACGTATGCCCATCTAGTTTTCTGGGAGTGAAGTGTTCCTTCAACCAAGACAAAAAAAAATTGTGAATTCATGTATGCTGACTTCGGCGACATAAAAAGCTTACTCCCAAGGGGTAGGTTGTCTTCAAATTCTTTTTTGACATTCTTACCCTTCATAATGACTGCTGGGCACAAGAATGTGCCTTCCGCATTGCAGCAGGCTACTAAGGTAATGATTTATCCCTTCTCAGAAGAGGTGATGGCGGAAACACTTTTTGAACCTTTTTCAGCTCTAACTTTATCGGAGCGATTGTTCAGCTGGAGACCTGATTCATCCATATTAAATATAACTCAAATATCTTTCTTCAACGAAAACGTTTTTAAAAAAGATTTATTTTTTGAGAATAACCAAATACAATGATCTTAATTGAATGAGTTCTGAATCGAGACTGACTGCAAAGTTCATTATACAAACCAAAGTAAAGAACAAATGAAATACAATACTGAAACTGATAAGAAAGGAACGTGGAGGCAAAAGTCCTTGTTCAGCATATTCTTCTCTATAGACTGGTACATAACTTATATTCATCGGTTTGTCAAACAACTGATTCTCCTCCAAGACCTTTTGCCACAAATCAAAATATTTTTTTACTACCTCACTGTTCATAGACTGACTTCTTGGAGAAAGACCTTTGGATTTCCTAATAGTAATTGTGGGGTTTCGCATCAGAAATGTTTGCAGCCAGACGTGTCCAGCCATTTCGGTGTTAGGGTTAAATTTGTGCCTAAATCCCAATTGATTGGTGAATTCGTAAGCAAGCCTGCGCACATCTTGTCTGGTTAAGGCAAATCCGCTTTTCTGCATATTTTTGATATGTCTAACCAACCTCATCTCATTGGAAGTACCCAACAAAGAATCAGGGCCCAGGTTCCATTTTTTATCGTTATTATGTTTAAGCCTTCTTTCCAAGGTCTTGCGAGGAATTTGAAATGATAAAGAAGCTCTTCTAACGGACATTAAACCATCTTTAACTGCTGCCATAGCATGTTTAAGGTTGTCCTCTGTCCAACTTCCTCGATTACTGGAATTTCTTCGCAGGTACACGTTTGGCATCTAAAAAAAAATATATATCAAAAGTGGGTAACTCCGAATTTATTCCCAACAAAACGAAAACAATTTATGGGTTTAAAAAAAAGAAAAAAATAAGTAAAACGTAGTAGAGATGGCCATATGGCCATCTTTCCTTTAGAAAGATAGGGCCATCACTTCTTATTGTATAGGATAGATGGCCACCGTGTTTTCTAAAATCCACCCGACCTGTGGATAAAAATGTGAGGTTCCATTCAGAAAGCCTAGCGAGGACGTTTATGCAAGAAAAAATGCGATATACACGGTATTTCCGTCAGAATTACAGTTTAATTAACATAACACAAAAGTTTTGCATAATGCTTATTTTATATTATCCTTTTACTTAGGTTATTTTGTTTTTGCCCACAATGCCACCACAACCGACCCATCCCATACGATGCAGCTTACTACAGTAATGTACAATGTGCGCCACCTATCAGAAAGCCAGCGAAATAAACAGAATGGGCCGCCTATCCTCTATGGCTATCTTTCCTCGACCTACCCTACAACATATCCGTAACAAAAGTATGTAGAACTCAGTACCTCTCAATATGAATTTTTAGCACGGTGAACCTCTAATTACGTAATGGACTTCCGACAACAGTGACCATCTCCAAACGGTTAAGCGATTTTTTTAATTACAAAAAACAAGTGCTGGATACGCACAAAAAACATTCCTCCATTGGGCCTGGGGTTCTAGAATAGCATACTAATTTAGTCTATTGTTTTAGGAGAGTATAAGGGTATCAGAACTATGGCTAGCTCCTTGCCCTGAATCAGAGACTGGTTTCCTGATTGGTTGGCCGTCACCTGCACGTACATATTTGGTTAGTTTTTGCACACAGGCAGCTAGGGACTCCTGGTGGAGAGAACTTCAACAGGCTTTAGCAGCACAGCTTAGGTTGGAACCCCCTACTACAAATATTAAGGTTAGTTTTTGTGTTATATAACTCATAAGCTCATATACTCAGTACAGTGCAACTTGGAATTTTTGTTCTTCTCTGACACCAAAAAGTACGATATTTTGGTAGTCTACCTAGAAAGTATTAAGAAAGTCTTGAAAAGATGTCCTTATAGATTCGGACGTACTTTTTCAGAATTTTTGTTTTTCCACTTCGTACGTTTCCTGCTGGAGCTTCCAAACAGGAAAAATGCACCAAAAGACATATTTTTCACAGTATCCTCATTCTGACCCTTTGTGAAACGGTTCTCGTCTAATGCTGACTCACTATCAAACAAACAACAACTACTGTTCACCTTTAAAACCGCTATATTATGACGAATCGAACTAGAGGTAGTATACTCAAATTCGAACCTACGGGATACGATTCGTTGGTTCAATGATTTGGTAGATTCACCTGGAACATTTTGGACAATAATACCAAAATTGTGAAATTAGGGCTACTGAGAAAAGTTAATTACTATAATAAAAAGGAAAATGTTGAAAAAAGCATAAAATACAGATGTTCTCAAATATTTGAATGCAAATATTTCATGGATGCGATCTGAGTTCGGCCACCCCGCCTAAAGACCCTTACCCTTTTAGAGAGGGCACACAAAACTTCCTCAAAGCCCTCCGGTAATATTCCTCCTCAGCAGATGGTTGTATTGAAACATATTCAAAATCTTGGGTTTTGCTGTAAAAAATGGCGTACCTATTTCACCTAAGTCAAGTATCACAGAAGGGCATTTCAGTGAAAATCTACTAGACACCTTAAACTTACAAATTGGTTGAGGCTTTCGCGGACAGTTGATAAACTGCTGTCTTGATTCGGGTCTAAAGGCCGTCGTTGGTTGGAATTTCTTCCTAACGTTTCGCTAGGACGAGTGGCAAGCTTCTTCAGAGGTCCTTCCATTTCCGATGGTGGATGTAGACTGACGACTTCTCTTGCGCAGGTTGTATTTATACCGGAGGGTAGGGGACGTGGCAAGAGGGACATCGAAAGATCAATGGGCTCGAGATCAGCCAGGCCATGTGAAACCGAACAGCGTCCCACCACCTCTCAAGCGTATCTTCCATTTGTGCCAAGAGTCATGGACAAGATTGGCAGAGTCCTGAAGAGACATGACATCAAAACAATCTTCAAGCCTACGAAGAAGATCCAACAAAATAACAGAACAAAAAAAAAAAGATCCAACAAACCATCAGATCGGCAAAGGACAAGAAGAACCCACTCTCAGCTGCAGGAGTCTACCGCATACCGTGTTCATGCGACAAAGTATACACTGGAACCACGAAAAGGTGAATGGGAACAAGACTCAAGGAGCACAAAGCAAATTGCCGGCTAGGACAAACTGAGAAGTCTGCGGTAGCTGAACATGCACTAAGCAATGGGAACCACAGGATACACTTTGGGAGCTGCAGGTTGCTGTCATCAGTCAACGGATATCACAATAGACTGGTCAGGGAAGCTTAACTTCAACAGGAACGAAGAGACCCACAGACTCAACCCAATCTGGCACCCGATCCTCAGAAACGCCCGAGCAGTGCCGATCGACATCCCGAAGTCAACCGAAGCGGAACAAGCGACGTCCCCTACCCTCCGGTATAAATACAACCCGCGCAAGAGAAATCGTCACATCGTCAGTCTCTGCAACGAGCGACTACCAACCTAGAGGAATGGTACATCAAGTGGAAGATCCGTCTCAACCCTGAGAAGACCGAAGCGATACCGTTCCGAAGAAATCGAAGATTACCTCAAACCAAAATAAAGATGACGACCACCAAAATGGAGAGAGGCTGGAGAAGAGACGAAGAAGTTGAGGTCGATTGGAAGGACTCCAGCACGTACCTTGGAGCCAAGATGGACCAAAAACTCACTTGTAAGAACCATGTCGATGGCCAGGTGCAGAAAGTGAAGATGGCACGCTCAAAACTAAGACCTTTAATAGGCAGAAGAAGCAAAGTGCCCTTAAAGAATAAGACCATCATGATTCAGATGGTGCTGCTCCAAATCATGACTTATGCAGCAGTAGCTTGAGGCTACGTTTCGAAAACGTTGAAGATGAGGCTCCAATCTCAACAAAACATAGCACTCCGTGAGGCGGTAGACGCACCGTGGTATGTACCTAACAGATGATATATGACGAACTACGACAGGTACCGGTCGTAATCCAGATGAGAGAGAGGGCCCAAAAGTTCTTTGAAAAGAACGAAGACACCGAAATGTGCTGATAAAAGACGCCTTGGATTACGACCCAAGAACAATAAGGCGTCATAAAAGACCGAAAATCCAGCTGCAACAAGAAGAAATTTTGCTCTAGCAGCTGATGAGGCCAAAGAAAAGGGGAGAAGACCGACAATAGTTGTACACCCAAGAGGGAAAGAACAGCCCGTGTACAACGGGTGGACAAAAAGAAGTCTGTCGATTGAGGTGGCCAGAGTCAAGCACGGACTCGAGGCTAACCTCAGGGGACGAAGACAAATAGCAAATGACTGACTGACTGACTCCAGTCGACGAGGAAAGAGCGAAGGCTCACCAACCTTAATGCGGGGCTTAGGTCAAAGCCCCCAGCGCAGGACCCCCAAGAAAGAGGCCTTTCATAAAAGTCGAGAACCGACAGTTGGATGAAACGTCCACCACGTGCTTCCGCGACGCGTGCGCGATCGAGTCAATTTCGGGAAAAAGGGGCAAAATTGGGGAGGGGATAGCTCGCTGGGTAGCACCCACTCGGGGAATGCGCAGCGGCCTGAACCACGCAGCGCCACGCCAGGCCTTCGGGCGGGAGGAAGGAGCAGATTGCTCTTCCCCCCACTCCTCAAGGGTTTGAGGTTGCCTGGAACAGGGTTGGTGAAGGGACCGCACAGGGTAGGAGGGTGTGTGTGAAATCGTCAGTCTACATCCAGCATCGGAAACGGAAGGACCTCTGAAGCGAAACGTTAGGAAGAAATTCCAACCGACGTCGGTCTTTAGACCCGAATGGAGACAGCAGTTTACCTTAAGCTTATTTTTTATTTATTTATTTACAAATTATTTGCTTCTTATGCCACCTTTATTGTTTATAATTGCAGGTGGTGTACCGTGATCCCCTGAGCGGTACGGAATGCTCCAAGACTCTTGGTGTAGGACCTGAGATGAGTTCAGGTGACTTAGCGCGATTAGCGTTGGACGAACATCGAGCTAGTGATTGCGCCTACACGCTGTACGCCAAAGATCGAGATAGCGCTCCCTGTCCGCTGATCGGTTGCGAAAGGCCGCATTCCATCCAGCTGGCCAGGCTAAGGCAATCACTATGTGCTGAGGAGGGATTCGATCTGCAACATTGCAACAATAGGAGGATACCAAGTGATATTGTCTTCGAGCTGAAGCCTAATACGAAGATCACGCCTAAAAAGTAAGTCATCAACAGTAAACTGTCAGTAACTAGCGTTTTAAACACCCAGCTTCAGTCATCTGTCATATAGTTTCAAGTATCAAATTAGAGGTTCAATGTAAATGGTGGCCTGGTTTAGTTCCATTCTTCAACGATTTTAGTTGACGTTGGGCGCAATCTTGGAATATTTTTTCACATAAAATTATCGATAAAGCTCCTTGCTAGTACTTTAAAATTCTGGGATTGGGAGGCTGAGAGTTTTTGACAACAACCAATCAAATTTTTTTTCTCTTGAAAGGATCCATCCGACTTTGTAATAAAATGTGGAATATGCCAGTCAAAAAGAATAATTTGAATTTGGCATAAAGTATTTATCATTAGTTGTCGTGTTATAAGGGATTCAATGAACAAAAACGCTGAACTTTGACAGCCCGTCAGTGCGCCATTTGGAGCGATAGTATATTCACATGTTATATAGAGTGCTGATATGGAGCTTCTATCTAAGGTCTCACATAACTCCCCATTTTAAGCACAGCCTTAACTGTACGATGTATATACGCAAATATGAATACTTACCTAAATACCTTTAGAAAACGAATTCATACTTCATTGCTCCATTAGTAGAAAAATTAAATTCATTGTTTTTTCATTATCTGCAATGAACACAACACAAGTCTGAATATAAGCACTTTTTTATGAGGGGCAAACATATGTAGATAAATTCTTTTCAACATTAGTTTAGTACAGTTTCGTGTCAGAAGAGGATTAGTTTGTGTTTATCAAGTATTGTGGAATAACTTGAATGATTTTAAGACCATGCCGCGTGGTCCAGAAATTTCTTTCGATGTGAAAACTAAGATCATTGAGTTATACAAAGATGGTCAACGTCAAGTCGACATTGCCAAAAATTTGAAGCTGAAGCGTAAAGCACTTTGGGCAATATTGAACAAATATAAACAAAAAGGTATCTTGGAAGCCTCCAAGAGAAGGGGTCGGCCTAGAAAACTAAATGCTACATCAGTTAGATTAATAAAAGTAATTTCGTCCAAAGATCCGTTTAAAACCCCAAGACAAATAAAAGGCGAAATCGAGACAATTGTCAGTGTTTCTACGAAAACTATAAGTAGAAGACTAAATGATTTGAAGTTATTTGCACGTGGCCCGAATAAGAAGCCGCTAATCTCGAGGAAAAACCGTAAGGACCGATTACAATTTGCACGGTTGTATCTTGATTGGAGCATCTGTGACTGGAAGAGGGTATGTTTCAGTGACGAATCCAAATTCAATATGTTTGGATTAGATGGTGTTCATTACGTTAGACGTCTTAGTGGACAAAGGTTGAACCCCAAGTACACTTTTCCCACTGTCAAACATGGAGGCGGGTCTGTTATGGTTTGGGGGTGCTTTTCGGGGTTTGGGATGGGGCCTTTTCATAGAATAGCAATACATTATAGATAAGTTTGTATACACAGACATACTAAAGCATGTCGTGTTACCCTATATGGAAGACAATATGCCCTTAACATCAATCTTCCAGCAAGATAGTGACCCGAAGCACACTTCAAATCTCGCAAAGAAATTCTTTCTGGATGAAAAATACCAGTTCTCAAATGGCCTTCACAGTCTCCCGATATAAACCCCTTTGAAAATCTATGGGAATACTTAGATAGGCAAAAACGAGATCAAAATTATTCAAACAAGGATGAACTTTTTGCTGCTTTAGAGCAAAAGTGGAGAGAGATTGATGAATCTTATATCAAGAAACTTCTACAATCTATGCCGAGACGATGCCCGGCGATGATTGATAATGGTTATGCTACAAAATATTAACACAAACATGGTTGGTTTTCTATAATTCAATGAACTTTGCTTCTTTTTTCTATAATTGATTCGCTTTGTCTATATATTTTTGTCCTTCATAGTTCCAGTTTTTTTCAATTAATTTTTTATTGAAGGGAGTCTAATGAGTTTATTTATGTATAAGTGAGTATTATGATATAACGAATTATGAATACAGGTTGGTGTATTAATAAAACAAGTTAAAAAAGAAATACACCACAATATTAATTTGTCTATATACTTTTGTCCATTACTGTATATTTGGGTGATTTGGAGAACATAACTTGTAAATCATAACCGCCTCACTTCTATAATCTGTTAACATTAACAAGCATATTTTCATTAACAATACCATTTTGTTTACAGAACCCCACTGAAACTGTTCAGGAAACCAAGTTGTCGTCTATTCGGTGTACCTCTGTCCAGGTTATGTACAAACAACTCCTTGCCGCCAGTTCTCCTTACAGTATTGAGAACTCTGTTTCAAAAGGGACCACAAACACAAGGCATTTTCAGAAAATGTGCTTCAGCCAAAGGTCTCCGGGAACTTAGAGAAAAAATAGACTCGCAAGGTGAATATCCTCTCATATTCTCATATTTTCCATATATTTGGTTACCGCATTTCAGAATACTGTTTGAGTGACTGTTCCGTATGAGTATGACTGAGGATTTAAGAAAAGACCTTTTACCTTTCAAGGAACCTACTTTTTACTAAAAAAAAAAACGTCTACAGTTCTCTTTTTCCTTTTCAGGTGCTATAGTATGCGAGGAAATAGCTAGCGCTCCTCCTTTATTACTAGCTGGACTTCTGAAAGACTTTTTGCGGAGTTTACCTGAACCACTTTTGTCAGGGAGCCCTCAACAGTGGCTGAATGCAGCTACAACAGGTCGTTTGGAACAGATCAAAAGGCTCATCAACCAGTTACCAAAGGAAAACCATTTGCTGCTGGCACATGTCATTTGTGTCTTGAACGCAATCGCGAAGAAATCCAGGTTCAATCACATGTCTGCAGCTAACTTAGGTTAGTATCTACAGTAACAGCAAAAAGCTCAAAACTTAGGACACAAGCCTATATGTTTACATTGCATTATTTGTCGCCAAAATTGCGTAGTTTTACGCATACTTTTGACTCACTGGTCTACCAATGCATACCTGTGATAGCGTTGTATCAACATAATAATACTTACCGGTAGAAATATCTACCTTCATTAGGCTTGTGGCGCTCATAGCAAATTATCTAAGCAGTATCATGTCTTGAAATTGTTTAATACCACAATAATTATCTGCAGAAACTACTCATTTAATGACAGAACTGTCCAAAAATTGACTTGTGTCAAGTGCACATTGATCCTTACTTCAGACTAGGTGAATTAAGAGACAAACAAATTCGTGAATGGCTCCTTCTACCAAGTCTGAATTCGTTGTTATGCAGTGAGAATGGCATTTCTTTATTTACAGGTATTTGCTTGGGACCAAGTTTACTTTGGGAGTCCACACAAAATGCGCCTCTAAGAACCCTACCTACATTGATAGAAAATTTGATCAACAACTGCCAAACTCTTTTCGGAAACCAAGTGGTATCACTTCTAGGTGACGTTGCGAATGACAGCGGAGCTGAGGAGTCTGATAGTTTACATTGTAAGTATGTCAAATGGAAATGAATTTTTATGAAATTACATAACACAAATTCATTAAAATAGAGGGTGTCTCAATATAGGTACTTCGTGTTTTTTTTTTCAATTAAATTACATTACTGATATTTTCAGTAACGCTTTGAAACAATTCTGGCTCATTCAATTGAGAAGGGTTCTCTTCTCCTTCAGATTTTTAATTATCTCGGATTCAACAGATAGATATCATCCTCGATCAATCCCTATAAAGACTGCCAACACTTGTCTTTGACTTTCTTCGCCATATGCGACGTGACCCTATCTTGTTGAAACAAAATATCGCTCATGGTGCATCTTATCCATTTGGGGCCATATTTGTGGTTACGTCAGTGTCATAGTTAGTTTTGTGGCTATTGGCGACACCTTTTCCTTCAGAAGCGAAGAGTTTTTGCAAGCGATCATCATTAATAAACTTTCTTGTTTTGTCAGTACTGTCTACTGTCAAAAGTCAGGAAGTTTTTCATTTTCCATCGTCTGAGCCACCATATAGTTCCTCCATTATTAAAACAACAAATTCAAAACCATCCAAACTACAACAAAAATAACAAATCACAAAACAGTCAAAAACCCGGATAGCATTAAATATTTTTGAAAAATGTTTGTTAAATATTTGTGGCGACAGATTTTTTAATATTGAATAAATATGTTTCTTATACATTTATAAAATATTCATTATAGATATTTGCAATTCATATATTTTTTCGATATTTCTTCCAAATATTTAGAAAATATATGAGGAAAGATTTTTAAATATAAATTTTATATTTTGATGAAATATCTAATATCTTTCGTAAGTATGTATGGATTTTCAAGCATTATTCTGATACATATTTTCAGTGTATATAGAAAATTTTTCATTGGTTATTTTAGCAAAACCTCTTGGAATGCTTATACAAAATTGGGTTTATAAAGGAAATTCAATCTAGATATAATGGTTTAATTTACTAGAAAGATATTAAAAAACATTCTAAGTCTCTTCTGCATCTTGCAAGTCCACTCCTCTGAAAAAAAACAACACTTACCAATTTTATGAAGTATTATTGAATACATTTTCCAGTGTATAGGTGCTGAGCATGGTGAGTCATCTACTCGGAGTAGCTCAACTGGGTCACTGAAAAGCAGCTCTATAATGCACCTAAAAGGACCCCCATGTTATGCCTATGGTAGTTCAAGATTTGGTTAAATTTTAAGAAAATTTAGTATGTGAATTTAGATACCTTGATGAAAAATGTCCATGGGCACAACTTGATCCTTTGACTAACACTTACTGATTTTGTTGAAATGTGACTTTTTTGTAGTAAGGCAGCCAATACTTAGCCATAACTATTTAGTGATTTTATATTATAATTCAAGGGACAAAAGTATAGTATTTTCGACTGTTAAAATTTTTGAACGTACTCTACGACATAAATAAGAATAATAATTGAGATACTTAAAAAAGGCATTTTTTATGTATCTTGATCAAGTTGCGATTATATGTATTTTCATTGGGATGTTATGAACATAATTTTCGTATCCATTCTCAGATAAATCCACCAATACCAAATAACTGTTACACTTCAAGGCTGGTCAAATAATGAACCACTTTGAGGTACACAGGAAGCACGTATCATAGTGAAAGTCACAGAAAAATGGCTGCCGGCTGCCTCAGGCCGACTTGCTATTATCCCATTGGTCGCTCGAGCTAACACGCACATGCGCCGTAGCCGGAAATATTTAATGAACATTTTCTAAATATTGGAGATTTAATATTTTCCATTGATTGAAAAATAAATATTTAATGAATATTATAAAAGAAATATTGTATTTAAAATCTTTAAAAGATATTGAATACATATTTAATAAAAATATTAGGTATATTACACATATTTAATAAAAATATTAGGTATATTACAAATATTTAAGAAAACAAATATTTAAGTAAGATATATATATATATACATAAATATTTAATGAATATTTCGTGCTATCGGGGAACTTATTGTATGTGCTGTATGAATTTCAAGGTCAAAATAGCCGTAGGAACTCCGGGTCACGTTACTTGATCCTTGGTAAGCACGGTGGTTCTGGCCCAAACAGTTAATGAACTGACAGTTGGCTACTGTTTCACCTCCATACAATGATAACTACGATGTTGCTTACAAATATGTTGACCAAAAACTCCCCTCAAGTATAAGTTATTGGAAAATGGCGCTAAAGTTCATACCCGAACTAATCAGGACGCCGTGAGCTGCGTCGGTTCAAATCTTGTCCCAATAGAGCTTTTCTCCTGGCTATGGATGTTGCGATTGTCCATATGAGTGCTTGAGTGTAGCCCCCTATAGCCTCACGGTACCCATAGTTATTTAGGCTTTAGGTGGTTCATGTATAAAAAAACGTAATAAGACACCCGTTAGCTTGGACACCCTCTATCCTAGAACTAGTAATAAAATGTTTACTAACCAAATGCTTTTTTTTGTAGCTCTCGGTCTATCACTAGACTCAGCAGAATTGAGCAAGGATCAGAAATCCCTGAGTCGCGACTCAGGGCTGACATTAAGCGAAGATGACAGAGAAAGTCCCGGACTGAACTATCACCAACCGTCTTTCCATCGCTCCGACTGGACCCGTCAAGCTGGTAGGGCGCGGCCCTTGGACAACGCTTGGATTGAGGAGGATGAAGCATTTGGTACCTCCAATGAGAGTCTTTGTTCACCGCCTATTCCTCCACGTAGACCTCCACCTTTAAGGCATTTACCCCCTGTGCATCTGCCTCCAATCTACAGACCGCCTCCACCGCCTCCCCCGTATAGCAGTCAACGCAGGCTGTTATTGATGACAGATGGAGAGAATGAGAGTTATGTATGAGAAGATTGCGTTTGATGAAAATCTCACTGTATTTATAGTCTAACTGTATGTTGACGTACACATCCTGCCTTATATACCATTAAGAGACCTACCTGCAATGAGAGTAAAAGTTAATCGTCATCCATGCATACCCTTATCGTCTAACAAATTACAATTCAGGTAAACAACAACCGTTGCTGTCAAAAGGACAATTTGTACTGCGTATCAACACACAGTCGAGCAAGTTCGCAAGCACAAAAAGCCGCGGCTTGCACTGTAATCAAAATTAATTTGTGAACGTAGAACAAACAAATTTGGAGCATTTTGACAGAATACTTAGAAAAATGAAATATTTCTAGACCATATGAAAATTTGTCAAGTGATTTTAACAATGTCTGAAAGATTCTCTTCTACCTCTTTGCTCTCGTTCTTCCTTTTCTTCTTTCCTTCCTTTTTTTTTCTTAAAATTGTGTGGTTTCTGGGTTACCAGACCTGACACTATGACTCAAGTGCTAAGGTGCCACGGACCGTTCTGACAACCAACGATGACTTGACTGCGTATCAACAACTGAAACTCGATAACCCAGTTACCTTCAGGAGGTCAGAACTTGGAACATGTTAGTGGAATAACAAAGAAAAAGTGGACGGGGCTCTATCATTTTTCGAAGAAGGACTGCGTCTCTTCGTTTTCCAACAGTCTCAGCTAATTTTGATTTTGTTTCTACTGAAAACGGATGCATGTACGAGCTGAGTTAATAAATGCTAAAAACTGTCAAAACAGTTACACTTGCTGATACGTAGCAGCAATTTTGCGTTTGATGGCAACGGGTTCCGGGATACACAAACTCAAAAACAGAATACTTGCAATTTATTTTGAGCACTCGAATAAGAAAGCTAGACAAAAAAATCAAGTTTCTTTTGGTAAAAATTATTTCCTCTAATTTGATTAACCAGATCTCTTCCTTCCCGCTCCTAACTACGCTTTACTTTCTTGATTACACAAAAAAATAGAGTGAGTGTAGTTAGATATCGTGAAAATCTTGTTTTAAACAAGTTCAGCAAACAATCCATGTCAAATTAATATTCTACTGGTTTAGCTTGTTTGAAGACTCCATTCCTAATATGTACATTTTCTCAGGTTACTCAAAACTACTGATGTAAATAAAGTTATCGACTTTTGGAAGCCACAGGGTGCATTTATCTTATTTTTACAAATGGTACGTAACAGTCAATTTATTTATCGTGGTATAAACTTATATACTGACCATCTAAAAGTAATATTTCTTTAAATGAGTGATTCGTTATGACGGTAGAGATTGTTGACATCTATGTCGTCATTTCTGAATTATAGTATGTTCAAAAGCAGATTTCTGGCAGCTATTATCTTATTTCACCATAAATAACGTTTTGTACCCCCATAACTCATCATTAGTGATGTATCGGAATTATGTGCGGTACAAACCGAAAGATTTAATGTTTTCTTGTTAGATGGTTAACCATGCATATACAGGTATGCTTAAACTAATAAATCGCTGGATGTCTCTTTTTGCTGCTTATTCTTTCAATATGTTGACCATGTTGTTATTTGTTTTATCATTGATTATAAAGTACAAATTATAATATAGATTATATGTGTTGCCCTCAATGTTCGATTGCAATATGATTTATTGAAAAGAATGCTAGCTACTGTTATGCCACTGTACTACAAACTTTCTGTATAATTGATATCAAATTTTTCTCCTTTGAGACGCTTTACATCAAAAGTAATAAGCGTAATAGACTTCTGTCAAATTTGGCTAGAAATCTTTAGTCGTCCACTAGCGCCATTGATAGCCGATAGTTAGGCATTTTTCTATCATCGAGGTTCTTTCTGCAAATAGAAAGATAATTACATTTCCACAGATGATGTAACTACGACATACTGAAAATGTAAATATTTGATATCTAGCAACTTTCAGACATGCCTTTGGGGCATATGTCTGAAAGTCATAGTTAAAGTGGGGCTCTTGAAATTGATAAATAAAGGTTAAACATATATTTTAACTCAGTCAACAAAAAAAGGTCATCAGTGGCCATATTGGGTAGTACGATTAGATTGCCTATTATAGGTCATTTTCACATCTAACATTGAAATGAGTCGACCATTTTGCTGGAGGATGATCAAAATATGACATTTCAATGACAATAAGGTGAGCAAGTGAACCAAAAGTTCTAATTGTGATGAAAATGATCTATTTGATTGACAAATGACCGACCTGGCCATAAAAGTGTCCATTCAAATGAACAAATGAATGGACTGTCACAATGCACAATCAAATGAATGAGAATGGATTAGAATGAGCAAAGCCTATATGTTTACATTGCATTGTTTGTCGCCAAAATTATGTAGTTTTAGTGCATACTTTTGACTTGTCTGTCCACCAATGCCTACCAGCGTTATATTAACATAATAATATTTACCGGTAAAAACATCTACCATTATTAGGCTTGTGCCGCTCTTTGCAACTTATGTAAGGAGTATCATGCCTTGGAATTATCTACAAATAGTCGCACTTTTAAAAAATAATACTAAATTGTGAATTTAATTACGACAGAACTGTCAAGTAATTGACATATGTCAAGTGCTCTTGATCCTCACTACAGACTATGAAAATGAGGAGACAACCAAATCTTACCTTGCTTCTCATTCTACCCAGTCTGGATTCGTTAGCAAAAACAAAACTTATGAAGTTTACAAATGTTGCCATTATTATGTACTTATTGATATAGAATGCTATTGCCTAGTATATGAATGCTTTAATGTGTGTTTAACAGTTATATGCAAAGTCTGATTTAACATATGTTAAGTTATTTCAATTTTGATTGGGATATTCTTGTAAATGATTATAATTTATTTCCGATTATTAGGAAAGCCATGCTTTTGTACACTTTGTATATTTTTTGTACCATAAAACATTAAATTAAGATTTATACACAGTTCGTTTGTGTTTTATACTTATAAGACTAGCTGTAAAAATATATATTTGCCATCGTTTTGATAGAAATTATTAGTATAACTATATTACAAGACATCGATAAAATTATAAATGACTATATGAATAACTCTACGGGATTTTGTAAATATCTATTGAAAAATAAATGTATTCTTAACGTTCCAGAGTCTAATTTTACTTTCAGCTGAGTTTATAGTCCATCCATTTTTTTTATACTCCAACCACCACGAAGGCCTAAGCACCCATGGGGTATCGTGGGGCTATAGGGGATACATGGGAAAGGGGGAACGCCACAGGGACTCTGGCGAGGGAACACGGGTGCATGCAACATGCACACATTCTGACTCCGCCTGCGAGATCCGCCGGGTGGTACCTCTGCGTTCGACAGTCAGAGACCGTCTGCCACCTACGGACAATCATAACATCCATAGCCAAGAGAAAAATTTCTCCTGGGATGGGACTCGTACCTGCACAGCGCAAGGCGACTGATCAGGAGACCGAAGAGTCTACTATTGCGGCCACAGCTGCTGCCATATTTACTTTGCAAGTTTATTTGCCAAACATGCTAACGGTGCCATTATCAATCATCTGGCGGGTCTAAGGGAAATTAAATTCACGGTATTATTTGCAGAGCCGCTTGCTGAATAAACTTGCGAAATTAATAATACCAGAACATATTCGTCAATCCGCCCGATGACATTAACCACTGCACCGCCGGCTCTGTGCACGCTCAGATGCTCAAGTTTGTCAGCCCATTGTCAGTAGCTTCATCTAATTAAATTTGCGCTATCTATTAACGGTAGCTAAGCTAAGCATTTTTCTCTATTAGAATAAATTTTAATCATTTCTCCGATTGAGAAATTGGTTCCACCAAATGTTAGGGTGTGAAATAGCTCATGGAAATACGTAGTGGTACTACTGTTAAGTACGATACAAAATAGTTCAACTACCATTCTACAGACGGCGCTATTTACTAGTTCTCGCTATACGTCTCACATATTTATATGAATACAGTTGGTGTCGGTCCAGTAGGTATACGTCGATTGCGTGTGGGGAGAGCGATTAACTTCTAACAAGGCCAAGGCGTATATGAATAGTTCAAACAAAACATACTATGTATAATCAAAAAATGGATGATTTTAACCCACTCACGGGGATTTTCTTGATCTTGGACGAAGGTGTGGCCATTGTACAAAAAGTACAACACATTCAAACTAAAAATAGCTTTTTATTACATTTAATATAAACATAATAAACTAAAAGTAACATTTTCAATAATGTTAAAATGCTTACGTCATATATGACATATCCATGCAATAAGAAATGGAAAATACTTCTGAAAGTTACACATATAGAAGTATTACATATAATTCACAAATTTGCTAAGTACAAACTAAATGGTAATAATAACTGAGTCACATTAATACACTGATACATTGATTAGGCTCCAAAAAGGCGAAACACAGAAAATTGCATAACTTCGCAAATATGGCCGACAGTTAACTGGAACCCAACAGGCAGAAATATCCAGGGTTCTGTATACCGTTTCAGATGCTGTGATTAATTTATGACACCATACTTCATTGAAAACAAGGACAACAAATAAAATCCTAAAATTGCACCCCCACGGAGAAGCGACCTGAAGGGAACCTATGCGAAATTTGTTCATTGTCAATGGTAATGGACCTTGAGTTTCTTCTTCAAACTGGGTCAAAGTGAGCCCGCCATAAGTGACTGCTTCCTATTGGTCCAGACTCTAGCATATTAGCGTTCACTTTACTTAGCCCATTTTGAAAAACGGTTTTGGGAAAAATATTCTAGTTAAAAGAAAAAAATGTAATCTTCTTTGTCTCATCTTCCTGAAGCCTGGCGTTTCAACTAACAAATAGTAATACCACTGATATACTTAACGTAAGTAAAAAATCAGATCACATTCATGTATATAATATATATGGGCCATGCAAATAATGCGTTTTGTACTTCATTTGAACCAGATGGGTCCGTCGGCGTAGCCTCAGTCGCTCCAGGAGCCCGTTGTGCCAGGGCTATCCAGATTGCTGGAAGAACTGCCTATGCTCTCGCAAGCTTCTTGGAACAAATCTGGATTTACCATCTCCATTACTCTCCATGCTAGGGTTTTACCACCTGAAACAACAGAAAATCGTTTTTATTTTCACGAATCCATGATATATTTCAATGGCAAAAGTAATCCGATGGCAGCGATACATTTTTACAACTAAGTCAGGTATTCTTTAGCAGAAATATCAGTCAAATTCAAATCGATGCTGTCAACAAACGCAGCACTTCGCAGCTTCCAGTCAAGAAGGATTCTTGTTCTCTGGATAGCCTTGAATAAGTCAATCTTTCTGGCGTTGGGTCTTTCAATTTTACCAGATTATATCATTCATCCCCTCGACGACATCCACTGTTCATGTTCAAGGTCCCAATAAATTCCCAAAATTAATTTCATTACTCTATATTCGTTAATCCGCTGACACAAAACAAAGAAATTGAATTTTGAGAGTCGTGATCCCCCCATATATTATATGCACTTGTTAGTTGCTACGAGGGGCACCCGACTGACAGTTTTACGTAGAGGCTTCCAACTGTGCAGGCACGCAACTATTCGTAGGCGGTCAACTTGACGCCGAGTCAGTTATATTTTTCTACCAATATGCCAAAGACATTAGTTCCTCTAAGCCTTCTCGTGAATGCTCCTCATACTAGCCACCAGGCTAACTCGAGAACTGATGGTTAGCATGACCGCTACTTACTTCCCAGGGAAAGGAAACTGTAGATTTATCAGATAAGGTCTTCCTCAGTTCTGATGAACTTGATTAGATGAAATAAAAATAGAGTCTCTCAACCAACCACAGATTAAACTGATACCTGATCATCAAACAGAAGATCATATCTGCTCCAAATGCTGGGAAGAGATCGAAACATCATTCTATCTTTTTATTGTCAATTGATCTATGAAGAAGATAGGTCGGATACTGTAACCTTTGTTTGAAGGCCTGGAAGTTTTAAATTTTGTTGTTATATACGAGTATGTAAGTTTCGGTATTGATGTCCAGGGGTAGTAAATATGGTGTCAGGACTACGGACGCTGATCTTTGCTTTAGCGGACATTCCAATATAAAACAATGGCATCAAGTAGGTTCACTCTGTGCTTTCCACGCTGTATTATCATTAATTGGATGTACGTGGTTTGTTTCCGAATCTAATTACATGTGAGATAAAAAGTCGACCTGCTTAGTTCAGATTTTTAGTAGACGTTCACATGGTTACATTAACATCTAGTAAGCTGATGATAATAGTACCTGCCAAAACCAAATTGCTAGTGCCCCTTTCAGAAGAAAAAATTAGCTATCCACGTGTTTAATAAAAATAACAAAAGGAAATAATTCCCATATCATAACATCTTGTCGAAAAACCTACATAATGTCGAAAAAAAATTAAATATCGTCACTTTTCAAGATACGTAATCAGAAGCTACGTATAGAACGTGTTTCAATGATACCAAAAACTTATATCCTCCAAATTTCAATCCCTTTTTTTTGAAAAGTCAGCAAACGAAGTTTCTTCAATTCATACTTTGTTCGTATAAAGAAACAAGTGTCAAAATCTGATCAAAATCCGAGGTGCTTTCCTAGTTAGAGAGGGGCCGCTATCGGACAGACCGAAAGAAATGAGTGACATGATTTTTCGTGACATGTCATCCAAAATTCAAAATATCACATTTTCGAATTTTTCTGCGATTAGAATACTTCCTCGCCAATAGCGTGGTAAGTAAAAACAAAGCTGGATCAACAAACTTACCTAGGTGAACATTATCCTTAATCTCATTAGAATTCTCGCAGTAATGCAATGCCGCCTTCCTAAGGTTCTCACATCGGCACTGGTCAGCAAGAAGCAAAATGTTTGGCACGCTGCAGGGGGTTAGGCTCTCTATTAGGCTGCGTTCACACAGACAGGTCAGTCCAGGCAGGTTGAAGGCCGTGCTTACAGGCAGGAGCTTGTGCGCGTACTTGTCAGTGTGTTCCACCTTATCCGTGTAGATATAGCGCAAAAGCTCGTTCACCACTGGGTAGGAAAATTCCGACAGCTCCAGCTTGTACTTTATGTTCTGGAAGAGAAATATACGAATCAGAAGATTTCAGTATACTCCCCATGTACAGATACGGTAAAAAATGTCGAATTGAGAAAGTACATGTTTTTATAGTTGTAGACCTACCCCTGTGTGTGAGCGTTTGTTCGGTAAGCTCAAAGACATACGTTTTTTAGTTGTGTGTCTCCGTCTCGAAAACTTTGTCTTTGTTTCAATGATATTTGTCAGAGTGACAACTTACTTGACATCGGCGTGCAATTTCAGTTGTTCTGTTATCAGTCTTCAATATAGAATTGTAGAATGCCCGGAAATACGATCAATGGAGAAGGCCGACAGCTCATGTTAAATTCATTAGGGTATTTCCAGGAAGAGAATGAAATCAGCGGTCCCACTTCATGCGTCATGGCAAGAGTAGCAAATGCACTGAAGATTAGTCTGCACAGTGTTCAGCGAATAAAATCAGAAAATAAGAAAGGTTTGGCCATAGTAACACCTGCGCTCAAAATCCGCGCATGGTACGGGGACTCGATCTGTTTACTTATTTCATATGGCGTTGATGACCGCCAAGAACGGTGACTTCAACTATATCTTCTTACGCCCCACGTCAAATGGAACAGTCCTGGACCGATATCTTTTTCTTTAGCACGAAAGCGATACATTTTTTAAAAGTTTAGCGAAACATGTCGTACGACAAAGGCGTTGAACGTTGATTTAGGTATTCAAGAATCTTTGTGTATTGACGTTATAATGGGTAGTTAGAGAATAAATTATTTTCTGTGTTTCGTCAGTGCTATACCTATTTTTTGTCAGTCTTGCAAGTACAAGTTGTTCATTATTGTTACCACGTGCGAACTATAAGGCACCGACAAAAGTGGTTGCAGCATATCTTCCAAGTTTCGCACACCCCGTTTACTTAGTTCTATTATTTTTCTTACAAACTCCAAGTTTTCAAGGGATTCATCGTGCTCGAATATTTGCCTATATGTTTCCAATATTTCCAATTAAATTATCGCCAGTAAACTGTTTTATCACTAGGTACTGTGCATTTTTTCAAAAACTACCACCACATCCTATCAATACCACCCAACACCCTAGATATAAACAAAAACTCAGGCAGAGGTAAGCAATACACCAATCAATCACTTAGTAATGGTTTTGAAATCGGCAACCGATTTTCGCTAAGCGTGAGACAAATGGGAATATCAAGCACATCGAAAACAGCCCTGTGTATTTTGATGAACAAAAATATCGGCCCTGTTCGGGTTTGCTCTGAAATCATAACTTTTTAAGATATAACAAGTGATGTGAGAAAAAGTACCAGTGTAAATTTTCAAATTTATATACACCAGAAATACAATTTGTTCAAATTATATTTTTTTTAACCAGCATGAGCCTCTCGGCTGGCTGGCACATATCAACATGCTTGTTATACAGGAGGTTCTGAAATATCCTCAAAAGAAACCACAGAATTGGCTGAAATGCCAAGAGCCCCCGATCTATAAATTTTATTGTCCTCCACCTCTGAAGTGATCATGACTGATGTCAACGTCAGAAACTGAAATGTACCTCGGCGTGGACATAATTTGTAAACCGCACATGGCTAGGGGGCAGCAAAGAATTCAGTCACAAGTAAAAGCAGCTGAGAAAGCCAAGGCAGCCAAAAAACAGGGTCACAACGCCAACGAACAGAAAAAGGCTGCCCAGAAAGCGCTGTTGCATATTTGCTCCGTTTGCAAGACCCAAATGCCGGATGCGAAGACATACAAGGTCCATTTTGTGAACAAGCATCCCAAATGCGAGATTCCAATTGAATTGAAATATATCTAGAGATATTAAAAATAATGTTAAATGTCTAAATAAAGGTATGAATAGTTACAAAAGTTAAATCAGGGTGAATTTTTAATTTGAGATCAGTTGATGTATTAAATAAAACTGTGTAGAAAGACATTTTATAAATTGTGACCAAACGTAGGTACTTCCTAAATCATACTCCATCAACTAGCCACAATCTAAAATATTAGTATGCGTGCCTTCTCAAGGGACACAAGAGGTGCAACGGAGTTTGTCTTCAGGACCAGCATAAATAGCTTATTTCGGCAGGTGACAAAATAATCAGCCAAAGTCATTGCAGACTTCCCGTTAAATCTACGTAAAGCATCTGTAAAAACAGAACAACAATGGCCTTATTTGTCATCATATCACTTCAATAAATTTTTTAATTCAGTTTTCTAAGGCGTGCTGTTTGGAGTAATTTTTCCGAATATCAATCAAATTCAAGGATAAAACAAAATAACGAATATTTCGATACATACCTCATTCTTGTCGTCCTTGTGTTCCAACAGTCTCTGAGACAATTTGGCACTCCTGCATTTAATTATCCAGCTATGAGCCGTGAGCTTCTTTTCTCCTTCAGTCAATGGACACTCCACCACGGTATCTTTGGCTTCCTCCAAATTCATCAACCTTGCCATATCCTGAGACAGACTGTGCACTTCTTCATCGCTTTGGATGATTTGCAATTTCACCATTATCTGCACGTCTTTGGCTACAAAAGTTAAATACATGTTTTGACATACCTAAAAGAATTGTGAAATAAGCTGTTAGTAAAGCGATATGGTGAATGACCTTCAAATTTAGAGATGTAAACGATATGTAATAAACGAAAAAAAGAATATACAGTGCTTTCCAGAAAAGCCCTCACCTAATTATTTTTTGTGCGGGTCAAGTTAGCAAGCAGCGGAAATTCGGAATGATGAAATTGACGTAAAAATAATAGTTGAAAGATTCAAAATGGGGGCTGGGCGCCAGCTTGTGACATTTGATGAAATGGAATGAGGGGTCGTGTGACACCTTATTTTGTGATTGAAGATAAACTTATTAACCCTAAAATATAAAATCACCATCTTCCAAAACGATATTGAATCGTTTAATAACTAAACAAGTAATCATGAAAGCGTTCTAGTACGTTATGTCAATCTTGTTGTTCTGAGAGTATCTATCTGAATGTGCAATGAAATATATTCAGTTTTAGCAAAATTGACAGATTCTGAATATTTTTCTTTAAATGGAATGTTTACATATTTTATTACAGATTGTGACCGACTCTTCCAAGAAAAAAATAATATAACATAGCTTGATCCGTTCATAAAAGAAACACGGGTGGGGGGTTTGAACTGTGTACGTATAAAGTCCTGCAAGAAACTTAAATATTAGTATCTTAAGACGAACCGTCTAGATGCTGAGAATAGGCTGGATGATATTTAGAGCTGGATATATTAGATATATTTTTTACTCTACATTGAAGGAATAATGCCCCTTGTGGCACTTGTACGCCTTCTACAATGCTTCTTCAGGGCTAGATCACCAGCAACTCCAAGTATTGGAGAAGCCGATGGTATAACTGAGTGTCCCTTGCATCAGCCATTGTAGGCCAAAGAAGGGATTTTCATATCGATAGGCCTGCTGGACTTTTGCAGATCCTTTACACAATGACCACTTCTTATAGGTGTGCCTTCTTAGGTAGACATGTCTATAGCAAGTCAAATCTATTGCCTGAACATAAGAGGTAAAATGCGTACTCTCTCAACATAGTTGTCACGGCTCTGATGGGTAGCCCTTCTTGCTAGTCAGTCTGCGGTCGTCTCCGGATTTACTGCTGACTCTCCATCTAGGTAACACTTACTATATATTGATGCTGGTAAAGTCAGCCAGAATCCAGAATTACGAAGTGTCGATTTATTTGATCTCACTGTGAGTTCGCAATACCTCAGCGATACAAAGACAGATGCTAATATGGCTATCTGAGTAATCTGCTTCACAATTAGGGTTATGTTTACAATTCGAGTTATAGTACGCAAGCCTGCTTGAATGCAGAGTGGACGAGAAAGGTTCTGGTTTTGACGAGTCTTTGGACCCGAATATGACTAATGCGAGTGATAGGTTGGAAAAACATCTGTGCATGAATGCTAACATGTCTGTTAGGTTGATGAGCACAGTAAAAATAACTTCCTTATCTGAACAAACAAATGCTTAGAAGTATGTCAATGACATGTTCTGTACAATCATTTGCAATTAATGTTATTAAGCGAGTTACTATCCCAACTATTTAAAACTTATTGTTTGTAGAATATGATGGATATGTCACTCTCACTGATACGCGTTTACAATAGAAATAAATAATTGCTTATTGTATTTTAGACACGTCGATTGACTACTTAGGCCCTTTACAGGTGTCAATACAAATTCGTGGAATTTGGCACTCAGAAAACATAAGAACGTCAATGAAACCTCTTTGTTCATATACGTATAGTCCAGTACCTTTGTTGTCAAAAAGGGGGTTATCTGATCTGGGGAAGTTCCAAAATGTCAATGTCTCTATAGAATTCGATGCGATTGTGCCAAATGGAATGGGAAATTTTATTTGGTTTATTTTGTCATCTAAGAGCTCTGGTTACCATTTTTTTCAATCTGAGGATGCTAGAGGCAAAGATACAAGGTAGCAAACAAAAAAATTAAAGGTACTGCTTTCCAAAGGTAACCCTGTTTCAAGAGAAACTGCCAAATCGTTGAGCCAAAGGATAATTTTCCATGTACATTTATGTATGAGTATTAGAGTAATATTTGCCGATTTCGTATGCCGATTCAATAAAATGATTCATAAGATAATTAGAACTAGTTGGCGACTGCTCCACTTAATTGAAAATATATGGCCTTTTCTCAATGCGTATCTTTCTCCAAACATCCCAATCGATGTAATGATAAATGAGATTACACACTGACAATAAAGTTACCAAGAGCAGACCCAGAGGCAAGTTGATGGAAATTGGTGACGAATATTTCCATGACATATTAAATATAATATATACATAATGTCTGTACACAAAAAAGTAATCATAGACCAAGATACTTACTGCTTGATTCAATATGCCTATCCAGGATCCCTAAACTCTTATAGCCCACGGAAATGAGTTCTCGACTATTCTGTAGGTTAAGCACAACTCCCGAAATTGGGCAACACTCCCAATGCCTTATACTAGCGTCCCAAACTCCAAACTGGAATCTTATCCTAGCCTGACCCGTTTCTTCAGTTTCACAGCCCGTGAGGTTCAAGCATATCACAAGAGGGTTGGTAATCTTCTTGCCATTTGGTCCTGAAATAAATGGAACATGCAAAATTAATATGTTCGTCCTTGTCTAGGATATCAGATAGATTATGTCGATATTCATGATAACAATTTGGGACCAATTATCATGCTAAAAAGTCAAGGCTTCGTAAAGTACGCAAGACTTGAATGAAGTACAAAGACTATATATCAATATGGCTCAATTTTGGTAAGGGAGCATTGCAGTTACTCCTTCAATGTACGATTATATTTGCATACAACAATCTAAATCAAAAAATGTATTTCTAATTAATCTGAATCTTTTGTATATTTTGGAGTACCTTTTATATACATACTTGAGCTAGAAACTTAGTTGGCACACACAATCCGTCTAGAAACAACGGACTAATCCTGTGCTACTATTACGTCATGGAACAAAGTATTAACAAGTAATTCACTATTTACTGATCATTTTTAGATAAAATCATCTAAGGTATCCTTAAAGCAAACATCAAAATACTCATACAATGCACTTGAATGATAACATGATTATTATGAATGGAATTTTTAGAAATCTGCAGACAGAACAAAGGCGTAATCATTTGGTTTCAAGTGCATTTCGAATGAAATAGAACCTTTGCGTCAAAAATAAAATTGTGTAAGGAAAAAATTCCGTTCTGAAAAACTATAATATACCGGTAGTGCGATTAAAAATAAATACGCTGAAATAAATGTCCTAAAATTATCCCTGTTTCGATCCTTAACTTTCGAAATCCATAGCAATGTCGGAAAATATAAAAATATTTTTTGCTTCGTTTTTCGATACAGTCCGAAGTCCAAATTATTTTCCAATAGGTATGTCCCAAATACTCAGATGCTATACAACCTGTATGAATGAATGTGTCAAAAAGCACGCCATCATAAAAATAATAATATTGAGCTAAACATGGTTACGTTTTACAGAACCTGCATTTGACTCTTCCAAGGTTTTGTCTCCTGCGGGTCTTCTTATCTTTTATAAACTATGACTCGCAGATAAGCTTTCCACAACTTGAACTTGAATCGAGCGGTACAATTATTCGTTAAGCACAGTTTTTCAATGAGGACGCTACTGTACCGACCCAGTAAGTTGTTTATCTCATTCCACTAGCTTTGTATAAAGTAAATTAAAGTGTGTGTGTGTGTGACTTTCAAAAGGGTAATGGCATAAGCATAAAGCTTATTCATTTGGCTCAATTTATCAGTGCACGCGTTGCTATATATAGCTGTCAATAGACTAAAGGATCTTTCGTACGCTCTAGTTATGTTGTTTATACGTTTAGCCTATTATTTTGGGTGCACATAAAGGTTAAAATGCATATTCCAATCCAATATCCAATCCAATATCCAATAAAAAACGACACGTAGATATTGAATTGAATTTTTTTTTTAGACCACCTGTAAAAATGCTGCCGTAGTTCGCCATACAGGCACGGTTATATTCTGACCGTACATGAAACTATTTGGATTTGGTTCATTGCGCAGTATTGCCTCCAAATTAGCTCCTTATAACAAATCCGTATGATGCCAGATGTTGTCGCGATCGAAAATCCTTCCAAGCATATGCACATTTTACAAACAAGACGTAAGTTTTACTTTCTTTATCACAACATTTTAGAGTTGTTTTGACAAGTCTGAGCAAAGTTAATTTTTTTAAAAGGTTGGTCGTTCTTGCGTAACAAATCGTTTACTGATAAACGCAAAATTCTTGAAAGCATTATAGAGACTAAAGCTTGTCAAAATTATTTAAATACAAGTCCTTGGTATTCAGCTATTGTTCATATGAGACTTCTCCCTCGAACTTGCCTACTTGAATGATTAATCCCCAATGCTTAAACAATCATTTGTCTTGAGTTCATTGTGCTTTCATAATCATGTTACTAATTTTAAATATGCATATTTATCGACTGGAGACAGTACGTAGTAGATACACAAGCTACCTGTTATCATGATAATTCTTATAAGACGTTTATCACGTGTCTTTTCTTTCTTATTTATAACACCATAGGTACCTTACATACCGTTAGCAATTAGTTTAACGTCACCGTCTTTTACCTCCATCCTGGATTCGCGAACAAGAGAAGATACGTCAGCACCTATTCTAGGAAGCAATTATTGTAACATTATGTAATCGGTTACTTCATATGAAATCCGCGTCAGTTACATTGTCAGTAAAGAATCTATACGTTCAGCGTTTCACAAAAGGTTCGTAGAGAATTCAAATTTTGTTATTCATTGCAAAACAAAAATTTAGGACTACTAAAATTCAAGCAACGTCAGTAATTCAGAAACAGAAGATCTAAACGGTTTTGTACTAGCTACAAGGTTTCTAGTTATGCTAACTGCTCCGTCGTCAACGACTCGTTTCCTCAGTGCTTTCATGTTTTTTATCCTTGTCGATTGGTCTTTGTGCAGAACGTACCAAGATTCTGAGATTTTTAAGAGACGACCTCGATTGGTGCCGGCACTTCTAGAGAAGTATGTCCAGAAACGCTTCATTTTCAAGGTTCTAGAGTTTTGAAAATAGATTTGTTTGAAGAAAATGTCAATGAACTCAACGGCGAATTTTGTTGAACTCAAGCAGATATGGACGTATCTCCGTAGATTTAACTGAAATCATTAAAAAAAGAAACGTCCTTTTAAAACCCTAAATTGTCAAGGCCGTCTAGACAATCGGATTTAAATCAGCAAATTTTTCGCTCGGATATTTGAGTTTTATTGATCCGTTTTTCTTATTTGATTCAATCTATACTTTCGACGATACGTGCGAAACCACAAAATTAAAAAAAAAAATTAGCAAAATCGGATAAATCTAAAAAAAATCTAAAAATCTTTCCCAAAATATGTCTCGTTCGTAAAGAAATCAAGTTTTTCGTTCCACATCAATTACTATCTTTCTTCAATTATTTATTGAGAAAGTTTTTTGAGTATTTGAGATTGAATCAAAAATATTCCTTATAGGAGACGCCCAACTTCAAAAATACTAAGATTGATAAAGTTTTACATTGTTACATATATAAGATTTATTAAAAACGTAACGCTGCAGCATTACTTGAAAAAAGTTCGTGCTTTATCTTTGATCAAGCCCATCAATGGCCTAATTTATAACACCTTTCATCCTGGCAAGAGAAAATTGAGTTCAAGAAAAATTGTATGTTACGAGGGATGTCTTTTAAGTCTTGCATATGGAAATAAAACAACATAAATGACTTTATTGTTTTTCGAAGTATTCTCCACGAAGATTAATATAAATCTGCATGCGCTCGAACCAATTTTCGAAGCACTTACTCCAGTTGTTTGCAGGCAGATCCAAAACGGCATTTTTGAATGCGTAATCTGCTTCGTCTGGTGACTGGAACCTTTGACCACGCAGTCTGTTTTTAATTTTCGGGAAAGTAAAGAAATCGTTAGGACTTAGATCGGGACTATATGGAGGATGGTCCAATAATTCCATGTTTTCTTCCATTAAATACTGTCTTGTTTTTTGGGCTGTGTGCGAGCTTGTAATGTCTTGATGGAGGATGATTCTTCTTTCGGGGTTGATTTTTCAAAGCTCGGTGATGACTTTTGGCAAACAAATGGTGGTATACCAATCCGCAGTAACAGTTATTTGCTCATCAAGAGGAATTGTTGCAATATGACCCGCTTTCGACACAAATGTCGCGACCATCTTTTTCGAAACACTGGAGAACGGATGACTTTTGTTGGCTTTTCTTCACCATGGAACACCCAAACACAGCCGACTGTCGTTTATTTTCTGGTTCATAACAGTAAATCCACGATTCATCACCACACACACAATGCTGTACACATTTTTTGAGTTTCCGGAATTGAAACGGTCAAGCGTTTTTTGACACCAATTAACCCTGGCTGCTTTCTGCTCTTCAGTCAACAGGTGGGGTATCCAACGAGAAACTAATTTTCTTACTCTTAGTTCTTCAAGTAAAATTTTTAGAATTGAGGTCTTTCTTCAAGTAAAATTTTTAGAATTAAGGTCATTGAGATCTTCAAGGACGCCTCAATCTCGCGATATGTCACATGTCTATCTTCAATGATGGGTTTGCGCACAGCATCGACCTCTTCCTGGGTGACTGCCGTTTTTGGTGTACCCACCCTGGGATCGTCGCTAAGACTCACCCATCCACGTTTGAATTCTCCATACCAACGGGAAATTGTCGATTGATGCGGCGCTTCGTTGCCGAAAACAGACAGTAGCTCAGCAAGACATTCTTGTTGCGATAATTGTCTCTGAAAGTTGTAATAAATTATGGCGCGAAAATGTTCTCGGTTGAGTTCCATTTTTCTAATCACTTGGTGACACTGAAAAATTCACTGTAGTGAGAACACTGCACGTATTGTTGTGAAACTTTGAATTTAAGTTTACTAAAGAGTGAGATTAAGGTTCAGTACTGACGTTCGATCCGCTCGGCATACTATGTTTCTATATGCAAAACTTAAAAGACATCCCTCGTATTGCCTGAAGTACTTTTATACTGACACTATTTTTTTAATCAACTTGTGTAGTTTTCGCTTCTTCTATAATATGAAAGCTGTCGCTAAACTTACCTTTCCAAAAGCGTACTGAAATATTCCAAAACGTGTTCATTCCATTGACGGAACATCTGAATACTGGACTATCTAAGGAATCCTTCCTGGTGATGGTCTTGTGGAACTTCTTTATCCTCCATATCTTCCTGAACACCACCTCGGAGGCCACTGGTACCTCAACTTCTTCGTGGATGGTACCGATGTCTGCCTCCTCGGGTGGCTCTTTGGCCTTGGCCGACGACTTCGACGGAGTTTTTGGACTCTTCGGCTTTGTTGGCATTATTCTTAGTCTGGAGAAAAGGTGAATGTTAGATTTGTAAAGTGCGAGATGACTTGGGTTGCCAACTTAGAAGCTAAAAATACGATTGAAATGCACCATTTACATGATGAGAAAATGGAATTAACTTCGTGTTCGAGGATTTAGAAAAATAGATTTCGAGAGAATCTATCTCGCATGAATTAATTTGAATGCGATACAAACAATAGCAAAACATGACATAACTTTCAATGCTTTTAACGCACCTCGACTTACGTACGTCATGTTCTCCCCATTTGAGATAAATAAGAACAATAATTCGCAGTGTGGTTGTGAGATCAAATAAGTAAAGACGCTGAAAAATTTACCAATCTAGATGACTGCTTACTTCAATTTTATTTATTATTTATACTATTATTTATTATTGCTTGGAATAATGTTAGGATACAACCAAGAAAAATACGGAAGCAATCAAAATTCAATTATCAAGATTACTAGATAATGACAAAATAATTAATTGGATAATTAAACCAATTTGTTTTTGTACGAAGAACATATCTACCGGAAGCCATTCATTTGTTGAAGATAAAAAACAATAATTTTGGTAAGGACTCAGATTTTTGTTTACCTAAACACTCGTTATTATCTTTGAACGGCAGAACCTCAGCAACCGATGGTCCGATTTAGATGAGCTCTTATTAGTATATATTTTCGGAAATCAGGTGCTTAGAAAAAGCAAAAAAGTTGTAAAATTATATTTCAGTTTATTGAGTTTTTGATTACTTTTGGGCATAGTTGACATATTTTCAGGACTCTGTCTAACTTTCAGACGATTTCATCCGATTCGACAGGTTGCTCAAACGTGGTTACCAAAGGTACATTACAAACCGTTAGCAATAAGTTTAACGTCTATGAAGTCTTAAGACTCTTGAGCACATGAAAATCTATACTATAAGTGTTTTACAAGTCTTGCATGTATCATTTCTATTGGTGTTTAATTTTCGGAATCTTATTTCTTATTGATTTTTTATTCCATATATGGTTTAGTCGAAATACCGTTTGATTCTTGTATGTATACGTTATTTGGAGACATATATTAGTCAATCTGCTTACTCCATTATTTCTACGGTATTCATACGGAATACTAGTCCATAGAAGTGAAATATTTGGTGGATAGATTGTGAAGTATTTTAAGCAGCCGATATTTATATATTGGAATATCTTCCGATAAGCTTTGATACAACCAAGTAGCTGCCAAGATCAAACACCAAAAGATAATAAAAAAAACTTCTCAGAAATTGTCAAAAAAATTATGTAATAGTTTTGTTAGTACCAAACTAGAGCAACTTGACCGAAATGTTAAGATTTCATTGAAGATGTCGATAACTTCCAATGCATAAAGATAAATGCGAGTCCTAAGAACACCGATAGAGTATTTAATAACTAATTTATAATTAAATCTACACAAGTTGGCAACCCACAATCTCACACAACAGAACACGTACAACTTCACCACCATTTTAAACACAAATAACTGTCTTTGTCACTATTATAGGAACTATATCACCGTAAATGCAATTCAAGCTACAATGTCATTCAAAACATGTCTGCACTCTATAAATGCGTTATGCGTTGAAGCCAGCTACCGTTCTGATTGAAGACGATAGTTGAAATGAATCGCAGGATTGGTTTCACGAGTTATATAGCCTTCTGGTCTTTGTATAGAATCAGTTGCATGGCGGAAAGTAGTATTTATAGGTTCGGGTGAACTCGCCGTTCTCGGTAAGTTAAAAATAATTAGAATACGAGATTCGCATATCGATCAGCCAACTCGCGATCTTAAGGATTTTCAGCAATACGTTCGAAACTTGTCTGCTGAGGGAGATGCAAATTACAAAGAAAGCCGGTCAGGTACCTGACCTAGACTGTTGCCGAGTTGGAGATTTTCCGGAAAATGTTGGAGCGCATAAGTGGAAATCTAAAACTAGAATACAGACTAATTCTTTTGAAGCGTCGAGCAAGTTAGGGTCTGAATAGCCTATCAAGTAGGATGACTCTGCACTTCCCATGTAACGCCGGTTCTTCAGCACAGACTTGACCCTCTGAGAAAAAAGTCAGTCATCCATAATCAGGAGCAGACGCGTCCGTTAGGTACACAATCCGTCTGCTAAGAATATTCTTCCAAGTTTTAAGGGCTAACATTGAAATATTTTGTACTTCTAATTTGTTTTTTCAAAAATGACCAGAATTCTGTGAAACGACAAAGTGTCAAATTTGAGCGACTTTTTTTGTTTTTGACCTTCTTCTCCGCCACTACTAGACCCATTTTCAAGGACTATAAAGCTTTTCTGTCATTGACATAGTAGTATCATAGTGTAAAATTTTTTGCAAAATTTGAGCGACATTTCTCAAGTTGTAGGATTAGCGGACAGACACACCGACCGGCAGACAGACAGACGGAAATGGGTGACATGGTTTTTCGTGTCGTATAACATCGAAAAAACATAACATCTCATTTTTGAAAATTTCCTCGATTAATATACTTTACTGCCAGTAGGCGTTGGAAGTAAAATCCAACCATTGCAGTGTTAGTAGTGATTTCAAGCAACGATTTTAGTACTTCTGCTATGTTGGAGGTTCTCGGACCAGCGAAAGAGAAGGAATGGTTCATATATTGGTCCTAGTTAATGTAACTCCTGAAACTCACCTGGTTTTCACTCGATTATGGGGTTTTAGCAATGACCGATTCAATTATATTTAACATTATAGCTATAAGAACAGGCCAGGCATTATAATAAGTGAAATAGAAGATACGTTTAGTATCGAAAATGTTTGAACTCCCAAATTGACTAGAAAATTGAAAAAGTCGAAAAACAAGTTCTCAAATTTTTAGAAATCTCGACAACGCCCAAAAATACATTAAATACGAAGTACGGGAACGTTCTGAGATTTTCAGGGAAATATGAAAACACCAAATATGAAGTTCAACATTTTTTTCGCAATTTTCTCTGAAATTAACCTGGAGGGGAAAACTCTACGAGTAATAATATCAGAATGAAACTCTATCAATACTGGATAGATATTAAATATCGGGTTAATCAGTACCGGGTTACGTACTGAACTAATCTGTTTTGAACAACAGTTGTACGAAATATTAATAAACTTTTCGTAATATAACTGTTAATATAGCGCTTCCAAATATAAGGATGCACGATTATTGTATTACAGGATTCTCAGAACGAAATTATCTTTCAACGTGCAGATGCAAGTTCGAACGTGGGAAAGCCACGAGAGCATTAACTGGTAATTTCTCTTAATCAGACGATTTGTGAGTGTGCCAATTTCGACTGAAGGCTGGCTTGTGAACTCAGCACTAATCATACATATCATGGGAAATTGTAATACATGCGTTTCTTGAAGCCGTGGTCCAGAACCCCGTGCACTGGATTAAGCTAAAAATTCAGAACAGCTTTTAGAATGGCACCTGATGCCGATGTTTGCAGCCGCTGTCTAGCAATAAGTAAATATGGACAGTTAGAGTAGTGGGCGATAATGTTACTCAATCACCCCAGGGGTAAATCAGCTCGCAGTAAATTTTCCATAAAAAGTTTACTTAATCGCCGAATTATAGATGCTGCTTGACACAATCTCAAAAGTTTTAAGACAAAGCTTTTAACAAATTGCTAACACCCTGTAATGTGTGTAAAAGACGACAGTTTTAGGAACATTTCTATTATTATTTTTGAGTTCGCACGCCGCGGGCGAGATAGTATTCAAATTGAAAATTGAAAAATTTCGAAAATGATTTATTATGTTTTTTGGATGTCTATCTGCCGGCTAATCTTTGACCTCTCTACATGTAACTTGGAAAGTACAGCTCGCATTTTGATGAACTTTTGACATAGGGTAACCGACTCAATTAGGGATAGAAAAAACTGTTATGTATTACATCTTATTAATTTTTGTTGAACATGTGAATAGTTAACTTTTTTCTAAAAGGGGACATTTTGCCGCATTTTCGTTCTGGCAGCGGTTGCTACGTCAGGGTACTCCACATTAATGTAATCATTTAAATGTTACCCACTGTGCTGAAAATAAGTGTTAGGGAGATAAATTCTGTATCCATATACATATATGTAATTGCTTTAATCGCTTTTGCTAATCATTGTTCATATATTGCGTTAGATTTACGGAGCCAACCTAGTTGAAAACATTTTTTTCAATCCAAACCCATGTTACCTATTTGAAAAATAATACGACTGCGTTGAATTTCTTTTTACATTTCAGCAGAAGACTTTAACATTAGAAACATAACTCCGCAAACGAAATGTGTCATTGATAAAGACTTTTACTACTGAGAGCCTTGACAAAAAATTATTTGTTGGATTTCTTGCAAAAAAAAATTATAAAATTTCTCAAGCATAATATTTCCAGGCTTTTTCTCCTAATACTTGTTTTATCAAACGGAAAGGAGTGAGAAATTGGGGAGCCCTGAAACTAATATGATCCACGTTATTTCCCCATGGATAACGTACGATATGTGGTAGAATATGGACTATATTTGCCACAGGTGATTCTAATTATTCATGTTTTCTGGCTTCATTTCCGTCGTTGATAATACCATTAATAAAATTACAACAAATAATAAATTAGAGTTTAAAAAAATTAAAAAAACATGCTTTAACAGCAAACTGAACTAAAAAGAAAATAATTTTCAAGTATAGTGTATAGTTTGTGTTACAACAGTAGAAACACCAACAATCAAATATGACCAATTTATTTTGAATAAAATCAATATAAAAATTAAGATATCAACAACAAAAAATAAGTTACAGTTAAAAAGCGTGGGTTATATTAAACGATAGAATTAATTTTTTTTGGTTGCTATTTACAAAATGGGAGTTATTATGAAAATATAGTTAATTGCACCCACGCTTTTTTACTATAAAAGCTTTTTGTATAGTAATCTTCATATTGATCTTATTCCAAATTAGTTAGCCATGATCGATTGTCCTATACTTCAAAATTGTTTTCTTCTTTTTGGTTCGATATTAGCATGTTTTTTTAGTTTTGTTAACTTTAATTCATTTTCTGAATTTTTAGTCTCAAAACGACAACAACAGTAATTATAATAAATCAATTTCAAACTTTACAAACTTTTTTGAAATTTGCAATTTTCCAAGGCTATAAATTATTTTCCAAATTTTCCAAATTTTCAAATACATTCATTCCAAATTTCAAAATTCAATTTTTCCAAAAATTTTCAAATCTGAATCTTTTTACAAGATTATTGTGTTGCCATAGGCCCTTGACTCATATACAAGTTCTAATCAGACTTCTTAAGATTGGTGAAATTAGGTGAAAGATTCAGTGATATACATACATACATGCATACAAACATACAGGTCAATCTAATAAAAGCGTGTAAAAATATAACGTTTCGATTGGACGGTGTAAACATGACTAGAAGCAGCTCAAAGAATCATGGTCCTGCAAGTATGTAGCGCTAAATGTAGCACTACCTTCATATATGTTTAAAACCTTGGTTCTAAGGAGCAAGTTTCACTCACCAAAAAAATATTTGCTACTAAAAATCGATTAAGTCCAGTGCGTCTAAAAATGTCATCCGTAAAGGTCAACAGTGCCAAGCAAAGGTGTCTGAAGCCACTGCGATAACATACATAAAATATCAGAGAACGTAACAAAACCTTTGTAGGTAGATATAACTGCTTCCTATGCCACATAAGATTCAAATACGTAATTACGAAATGTAGATTATGTTGCACTGAATGAACAATAACTGGCTTGTAGAGGACGTCAACCTGTAATGCATCATGTGTCGGAAATGTTTTTAGCTCACCCGCTAACGCGTACGATATACTCACTGACATTAATTTGGAAAATTTTAAGTAAAAAAAAATTCTTTTCATATTCAGTGGCTTGCGATATGAAATTTGGGGTTTGGTGTCATCATTACAGAAAATTTTTGAACGATAATTGTACTAAATTTTGAGGTAAGCAAAACTGACATAAACACATTGTTTGATTAACGACGAAAATTGTTTTCGTAAACATACATTTATTCGACTGACAGATAAAAGCTAAACAAACAAAGATACAGAATCGTATGGAGCCTATATGTACGTATATATTAGGCGAACCGGTGAAATGAGAAAACTTGGCGCAGGGAATCTAAGATCCGCACGGTATTATGTAAAAAACCTATAAAACGTCAAAAAAAAACCTATAAAACGTCATCATGCAGACTGGGTAGTTTTTACGGTGCAAACAGTCATTACACGTTTGCTCACTAAGATCATTGTGAGCGTCCATCTGTGGAAGAATGACTCAACTAAACTACACGCATTGTTGGTTGCATATGTTTTGTGGAGCGGAGTAGTCGTAGTCTGTAGTTTTCATCTCAGAGAAGATGTGAAACAAAGACAGTTGGTATAATTGCAAGATTGCATCTGGACGATTACGTTTATTGATCTGCATGTGTTTAAAATCAGTGATATTTGCTGTGTGAGAAAATTATTAATGAATATGCTGCCTAAGTATATCTATTAGCTGTCCCCGACAGGATACTTATATGTTGCTCCTTTCTGAAGACAGGTTATGTTTAAAGCCATAAATAACCATGCTTCCCGTTTTTTGGTATTTGAGGAGCACTACAAGAAATCGCCACCGGCGTTGTGTGCAATTTATCCACATCACAGAAAAATAGTAATGAAGCATCACAGATCAAACATTGTCGCAATGCCTCACATCTAGGTGCTAATTTTTATTTCCTGTTGAAATCGCAAAATAAATTCCTATAAAATTCAAACGACTGGAAATAGAAAGTAATGTAACAACCTCTTCACTT